CTGGAAATTATCATGCATATTATGGACTCCGGACAAATTGTATTCCTCTACGTATTCCTGCCGATATGACCACGTTGCGAAAACGAGGTCAAACAACTTCTATACGACGAAAGATCGCGACCATCCAAAAGGACACACCATCCTGGTCTTCATATCTTCGTCAAATAATACCCCATTCGTTTGGGCTCATTCTCTACATGTCCTTCTCTCAAGACCTTAGTTCCTCATCTCTACAATAGCCAACTAAGAGTTAGTTAAACGCCATATCTGATAGCGACACACTAAATGCAATAAAGGGCTGTATATCATGATGCAAGGAAAGTTTGTGCTCACACTAATGGGGGCGCGCATACTTTCGAAGTCTCACAATTTGAATGTGACAGACTCAAGAAATAGACCAACCGACCTTCATCATCGAATAACGATAAAGTTGGAATATGAAAATGTACAAGAGGCATGAACGGGCTCTGGCATTAATTTGATCCATCACAATGTGTCTCTAGATGAGGCATTAGGGGATTGGACAACTGAATAAAATAAGGTGTAGAAATCGGCCCTTCAGCTCATGATTTTCCAATTCAGGTTTCAATTTATTTTCCCAATTTTCGATCTCATTATAGCCGTAGACAGATCGGATCAGCTTGGCCGCAAATGCCGAACTCCTTCCCCAACCGAATGGTTCAACAAAGCAGAGGCCTCTGGACAGATGCCAGCTTCTCACAGCACTCCTCACCAGACACTAGCGCAACTCCTTTCTTTCTCTAGTGTCTGTTTCTCTCTACACATCCTCGATGTAGCCAAGCTAACTTCAGCAAAACTTTCTAAAGAACTTTCCTAGATTTCTATTTCTCTAGAGCCTATTGCATAGCATCCATGCTCGACATGTAAATTAACGTGCTTCTCTTGAAGCGCCTGCACAGAAAACCTTTAGAGTTCAACTCATGCATATGAAAGTCTGGCGAATCATATCAATTCCAATCAGGAGGGTCACTTAAAAATTGATATAGTAAATATAAAGAAGAGAGCCTAAAAGTCAGGCGCATTTCTTTTTCGTCGTTTTTGGCGTAGGTTGGCGGCGCCTTAGGCTCACTTGTTTGGTTTTCTTTCTTACACTATATAAGAAGCATTTTTTAGAGTGATCCCTGGCAATCAAAATAAATTTGTCAAAGAAATGAAGCCCAACAGGCGTCAGGAGGACCTCGACTGTAGTACCAGCAGAAACAATTCAAACAAACCTTTTAGACGCAAAATTTACCAGTCCACTTCAGCCGATGAACGTAAACTCAGATGTCTAGAGTAAAGACACATGCTCCCTCGAAGTCTGAAATGAGCAAGTTGAATCAGCGAACTTTCTCCCACCCTAGTCGCCATACTTACTTTTTCCGTCTTTGTTCACTTTGATGATTGCTCATTTTCTGATTATTACATGGATGGATATGGAATATTAATTCTGGAAGTCTACGAAGTCTACAGAGCCATGTGTATCCACGACGCTGGGCACGCATGAAGTCTACACTAAAACAGTCCTGCGAAGGTATCGAAAATTTCGAGCAGTAAAAAGGTTTAGTTAAACTTAAGTCGAAATAAGAGTTTTATCCAAGGGCATATAAGATATAATAGTAAAATGAGTCGTTCAGCAAAGGAGCTACACACCAGCACAAAGCATAAGCAAAGGAGCAAAACGACAAGATTGGATACATTCAAATAAAATCTTCTCACCTGTCTACAGAACTCATCGACGGCCCGTCTTCGGCAACAGACTTCCACTGGCATTGTAATTCTTACTCCCCTCCGAGGGCATTTGTAGCCTACTAGAACGAGGCGCATGCCCTCACGACGCTGCTCGGCTACTTCGTTGAAAGCCTGACTGAGAAGACGGTGGGCGACAGGGGAGTTGGCTGCTAAGTGCGTCTGGCCGGCGTGCATTCCGCCCCTGCCAGATGAACCGCGACGGATGCAGGTGGTTGATGATGCTAAGTCACCAGAATTACTAGTCAGATCACCAGCAATTCCTTTACCAAACTGAATGCCGCCGGTGGTGATTGCGGAAGAGGAGGGGTTGGAATTTAAGCCACTTTGTCGAAGGGTCGTAGACAATCCAGTAGCCCAGTCAGCCTCAAACATGCGGAGCACTCGGAGTGGCTTGTAGGCAGCTGCCACCAGTCGGGTGATAAGACTGTGCATTACACGGACCACGGGTCCTGAGCCCAGGCGTCGGGGAATCAGCTCGACACTCGCCTGCAAGAGGCGGAGTAGGACAAGGGAGACAGATGATGCGCTTGGCCCTTGTAGGTAAAGGACGAGGTTGTCAAACACTTGTAAGTTGTGGCGTGCTCACCTTAGGTGACCAACCATAAATGCTGTTTGCTGGAATAACATTTGAACACTCATCCTGACTAATTAACTAGCGTACATACGGTAAATTTCCTGTTGGGAAATTAGAGGATAGGGACTAGCAAATATTGAGTCTATAAAAAATTGATGTCAATAACTGGAAATCAATAGGAAGCAGTCGAGTTGATAGACTACGGTCGAACCAATCAAATCTAATTTTGGTTATTGAATATTAAAAAGCACTGTGGACAAAATATAAATTGTCAATAAGCTTGAGACATAAGATAAAATTCATCTTGCAAAAATAATCGGATCGGAAGCTTTTAGAAATCAGTATATGTATATAACCCATTTATGGAGCTTTTAATGTAAAAAGGTGTGAATAAGTTTTATAGTAAACTTAACGCTTTTCCCAAAGATAAATTTAGACTTTTCCATAAGTTGTCGCATAAAAAGATTACCAAACGTAATTAAACTAAGCGTTCTTCAGCTTATATGCTAGGAACTGTCTCAGTAACATGAAAATAGCGTAAGCAGACATCGCAATGTCAAGCCTAATGCATACGATATTCAAGAATGATTTATCTAAGTTCGAGCTAGAAGATCTCTAATGCCACTTGTAGAAATTCATCAGAGCTGGACGACGATAGGGCAGGCATTTAGCAAAAATTAGCATAATTTTTATAATAATTAATCTGTACTGGAACATATTCAGATGAAAAGGACAGGAAAGGGATACTTAAATTTAAAAATGGGGGAATAAGCGGAGGATTTCTCTGGACTGTCTGAGTTAACAGAAAAATGGGTAATTTTTAATAGTAATTATGCTTCTCTCTAGGTCAGAAGAAAGTTTTTATGTAAAAATGGTCTGATTCTAAAATAACAGTGCTTGACTGGTAGAATAGAGCTATAACTTAAAAAAGTCAGCAAGATCAGGATACCAGAGCAGATATACTACCCAAAAGCTGAAAGTATGAACCAACTTTTGACTAAAAAAAAGTCCGCCACTCGTGGTGACAGTTATTTTAAAAACTGAATAATTTTTCAGTGATATATATATATATATATATATAATAGAGACTATGGGATCCGAATAAAAAAAGGAGCCTTTTAAGCCAAAGAGCATTGGTCATTCTTGTCAGATTCATCGTTTTATAATAAAAACTAATTATAAACAAGATCCAAGTAGGAAGTAGTTATTGGTTTCATTTATGATCTTTTAGTATAATAATCGATGTCTACAAATTTAGAGTAGATTTACTAGCTATGGCATTTTTATTTTTAGCTAGAGTTGAGCACTGCGATGCAACTAGTCCCAGGTTTGTTTTTTTCGATCCCATCTTTCTACTTAGTGTATTCCGAAATTAATCTATTTCTGCAGTATGTTGCACAACTATGCATGAAAATATGTGCTAATATCGAATTTCAATATAGCTGCGAACGCATAGGAGATAATGGTGATTAATTTCTAGTTCAACGATCCTCTCAAGAATACTATTCTAATGAATTTTAGCGATTGCTGTATCAAGCACTATAATACCAAATAACTAGTGGTCAAGGTTCTCTAAGACCGTCATTAGTCGCCAGTACGCATATGTTGAGAGATAATTTTATTTAGTTGGGAAAAAATAAAGCATAATTACCATTTTATTGTGGGCAAATTAATTGAAAGTCTATGTAGGAATAAAAATAATAGCTAACATAGACATTTGTTGAAATTGAGTCTAGTATGGGCACAAAAGACTAAAAGAGAATATGAGCTTTGGTAATTAATATCGTGTTTTATATGATATAGTGTATCTGAAGGATTGCGGTTTATTGTTTTCATTTATTCTTAAGGACAATTTTGACTATAATGGGTGAAAAGCCCGAGTAAATGTCTGGCTATCATCTAATGCCGTCAAAAGAATGTAACCTAATTGAGATCGTGACCATAAATATTATATATATTTTGGCTATGGCATTAGCATTTATTAAGAGTGAAACTAAACTAAATTTGTATAAGGAATTATCCATAATATTTTATTACTACAATTTTATTTCCATTTCCCAATCCCTTAGTGATATTGGCACAAATATCCTCGTCACATTTATTCGGCAAGAAGCAGAAAATTTAAATGTATTGATTAATCATTATAAATCACACACTTTATATCCACGTGGCTCGAGTTGATCTAATATAGCATTAAATGCCATAATGTCCTATCTGAACCAAGCCCTGCACTCTAAGCCATTCATTCAAG